TTTATGGTGCAGCGTCCTGCTGATCAGTTCCACATTTTGCTATTAATGCATAAAGCAGAACTGATTCTTTCGACTAAAACCTGCCCGTGTCTATACACACACACACACACACACACACACAAAACTTTCCAGATTTTCAAAACAATTCATTTAGTATGATTTATGCTCTTTTCCTCATGGGGAACAAAAAATGTCCCCACATGGTTAAAAATATTGGTATTACTATACAGTACATCCTTGGGGACATTTGGTCCCCATAATGTTGGGAACACCAGGTAGGCTACACACACACACGTTTGTTTCTGTGAATTGTGGGGACTTTCCATAGACTTCTATTACTTTTATACAGTGCTTGAAATGTAAAAAAAGAAGAAGTGCCCCCCTCCTGAAATCGTCAGTGTTTTCTCTGCATTACTACTTATTAGTTATTACTAATGCATTCCCTTACTGGAAACTTTCCAGAAGTTTACCGGTTTAGACTGCTTTATAGTGTCATTTCTAATCACCCAGACAGTAATGAAAATACTGTAATTATGTGTTATATTCGTGGTTGTAGCTGGAAGGGATAGAGCTACAGGAAACCAACAATACATATTTTTTCTACCTATTAGATTGTGTTTTATTAAAGTCTACACCTACCCCAAGCATAAACCTATCCTTACAGTAATGCACATTAAATATTGTTGTTCAGCATGAGAAAAAGGACGCAATATTGATGTGCGCATGCGCAGTAAACCATGGTAGGACAATCTGACGGGGCCGTTCCGAAGAGCCTTTTTGAAGCCCAAAGTGGGCGGAGCCAGCCGTCGCCATCTTTGCAGCGCGTCACTCCCGGATAATCGAAAATGGGCAAAGAGCGGGAGCAGGTTGCTGAAACCACGCCCACCTGGCTCGAAGGCAGTGTCAGCAGCAGCAAGCCACCTGTTACTCAAGTGGCCACGCCCTTAATTATGCAGCACTTTAAGGCTTAATATAATTAATATTAAAAAGTTATTAAAAAATTCACCCACCTCACAGTTGTCATGAAGGGCAAAATTAGCTATATAGACCGAAATAATTTTTTGAACCAGACTGTAAACATGTTTTTTTCTGCTGTAAAGTTGGGCATTTTAACATGGGGAGTCTATGGGATTGACTCCCTTTTGAAGCTAGCCTCTAGCGGCCAGTCGATGAATTACAGTTTAAGTCACTTCCTTGTTGGCTTCACGAGAGAGAGCGGAAGGTTGCCGCTTGGTCAGGACACCGGCAACATGTCAGAAGTGCCGGTACGCACGAAAAAGTGCCAGTAGGCCTACGCTAAAGACTAAAATATTGAAGTGCCGGTACTGCGTACGGCCCACTTCAAGCACTGCTTTCATACTGACCGAACGATATTTTCTATCCGCAGGCCGGTCCCCACAATGTCAAAAATTTCAGGTTTTACTATCCTTGTGGGGACATTGTTTTAGCATAAACAAGTACACACACACACACACACACAAGATTGATTCTCGTAACATACATTTTCTCTGTTTATGCAATCCAGTCAATGGCATCACATAGACATGTTAAAAGCTAAAACGTGTGTAAAACACTTCCTGTTTTGGTCAATTCTAAACTGACCCTGTTTGTAAACCACTGTGTATGTATACAATGTGTGTGTGCATGTATACACACATACATTTGTTTTATGATCCCAAAAATTTAATTATAAATACACATTACTGTTCAAAGTAATTATGTTTATAATAGAAACTCTCTACTTGAATAAACTTACATTTAGAAAGCAAAATGCGAAAGCTACTGTTGGAACAGAATTAGAAGAGTATAGCATTCATTTGAAAATATTTTTGACATAGATTTTTGATTAATGAAGGTATGATAAACGTATCAGTTTCTTATTCAAAGTTCTTTAAAATTTTCAATTCATCAAAGAATCCTGAAAATAAAATGTATTATGGCTTCAACACAAAATATTAAGCTGCACTGTTTCCAACATTGATTTGATAATATCAAATAATAGCAATGAATCCAACTTTTACATTTATTCAAACAGAAAAGTTATTTTTAATTGTAATACAGTTTCACAGTATTACTGTTTTTACTGTATTTTGACCCAATAAATGCAGCCTTGGTGAGCATAAGAGACTTCTTTCGAAAAACATTTAAAAAGTCTTACAAAACCCAAATGTTTGAACGGTAGTGTATTTATGAAAATCTAAATTGTGGATATTTTTAGATTAGGTACTCATGAATTATTCAGACCTGAATGCTAGCATAAAACTAAAGACTAACTGTAAACTCGTACCTGCACTTTATACAACAGACATGGACCGATGCTATTCATATACTGCATATTTAGTTTTAAACTGTGATTATTAAACTTTATATATATATATATATATTATAAGTTTAAGGTGCTGTAATTTTATTTATTTTTTTATTTTACCTCACAGATATTGCTGAAAATGGTATCTTGAATGAGGGCCAAACAGAAAAATCTCCCTGTGAATTATCTTGCATATTCAGGTTGGCTGAGATAGCTTTGAAGGGCCAGAGTTTTGACGAGAGGTTGTGTGGCTGAAGGGGCCGGTGGTCTAATTTAGTTTGGCCGAAGTTAGCAAAATGGCTTCGGAAAATTGGGACTTCTGATTGAAACATACAAACACAAATTTTAATAGTTGTATCTATCTGCTTGGTAGCTACTTGCTAGAAACTTTGTGAACGTTTCCGAGTGATGTCCCTCGACTCTTAATTTTCAACATACAAATTTCCCCCTTTAACAAATGTGTTAAAAGTGTAAAACGCTAACTTATCCAAAAAGTGGTTATCTGCAGATGTAATTTATGGGGGTTTAAATCGAACTAACAAAGTGGCAAATATAACTAAACCTATGGACCTATAACTAAACACAGTAAGCTTAAAGTGAGATCGGAAGCCAGCTAAAACCACATTACCTGACATAACAGCAGGTATATTAACTGGCTAGCAAATTTTGCAAGATCCACATTCTTGCAGAGTTTAGCTCCAACCTTGATCATACTCATCTGCCTGTAATGTCTAGTAATCATGAAGAACTTGATTAGACTGTTCAGGTGTGTTTGATTAGGGCTTCTTGAGAAACCAGGGCTGTGTCCGAAATCACCCCATATACCCTTAAATAGGGCACTATTTGAGGGAACAGCCATTTTTAGTGGTGTCCGAAACCATAGTGGACGTTCTCGAGTGCACTCATTCAATCCCACAATGCACTGCAAAAACAAGTGTACAACTGGTGCACGCTCAACAGCTAGAGAATGCCCATCCCGAATGAATTCCTGCATCTCAACAGAAGATGGCGCCCGCAGCTGAATAATCAATCCGTTCATTTTTACAAAGCGCTCATCCATGGCGTACAGCATAATCTACAACACGGGTATAAATTCATTGTAAATTGATTATTCAAGATAAATACTTTAATCTTACTACTGGAGCTGCTAGTTTGCTAGTTTCAAATGATTAATAAACAGCAAGCACAAACTATGCAAAAGCGGCATTCCTTCCGATGCACTCAGTGTCCGAATTCACTACTCGTTTTCATTCACTCCTTCTAGTGAACTGAATTAGTGACCTAATGTAGGGAATAGTGAATGAGGGTATAGGGGGCGATTTCGGACACAGCCCCTGATGTAGAGCAGGGTTGCCCAGTCCTGTTACGTGAAATCTTTCTTCATGGAAATTTCAGCTCCAACGCTGATCAAACACACCTGAACCACCTAAATAAGGACTGGGCGGCAGCTTTAGAGGCTACATTACCAAAACTGTAAGGGACAAAATTTTCATCATCAGAAGTGCCCGCGGACATCCACTCTAAAACCCAATTTTTGAGTCTGCGTACAACCCTAACTGACCCTTCGCAAAGACCCGCCCCCCTTCATTACTGTTGCTACTTCCGACAAGCCAGGCCGCTTTCACGCCACACATGTTCTTACGCAGTTAAAATACATCGCGGAGCAAAGAGGAAACTGATAACACGGCAACAGACATACGACGGCGACGGTTGAGTATACTTTGAAAGCTGTGTGGACGCGGCTGAGCACAAGACGAAGTGGAACGTGGAAAGAGAAGTATACCCGGGCCTTAAGGCATCTTAGCCATGCGAGGTTTAAAGGGCTAGTACACCCAAAAATGAAAATTAGACTGTGTTTTACTCACCCTCGAAGTATCCTAGGTGTATATGACTTTCTTCTTTCAGATGAATCCAGTCGGAGTTATATTAAAAATTGTCCTGGCTATTCCAAGCTCTATCATTGCAGTCAGCGGGTGTTGCAGTTGAACAGTCCACAAGTCGTCAAATAAAGCGCGCGCATTCATAATAAAACGTGCCGCACACGGCTCCGGGGGGTGAATAAAGGCCTCCTGTAATGAATGCATGCGTTTTTATAAGAAAAACACTTTTTCTCACTTCCGGTATCTGTCATACGCGGAAGGCATTACGGCGGATGACGCAGCATGTATGCGCCTCTGAGATATGCTAGTCTCGCGAGTTTGTTTATAGGAGCAAAGGAAGCAAAGTTTCCTTACTTTAGCAAAGGAAAACCAGGCTCCTCTTGGTTTATATCGAAATCCTCCGACAGTTTTCTTTGCAAATCCTCGGTTTGTACTTCTAATTCGTGACCGGCATTTTGTTTTGTTCTCGCTCCGCATTCGTCACTAATCACGCACCGCCGAAGTACTATGTCATCCGCCAGAACGTCTTCCACGTGTGACAGATAATGGAAGTGAGACAAAAGTGTTTATTACGTTTGAAATATGGATATTTTTCTTATAAACGCATGCATTCATTACAGGAGGCCTTTATTCATGCCCCGGAGCCGTGTGAGGCATGCTTTATTATGAATGTGCACACTTTATTTGATGACTTATGGACTGTTCAACTGCAACACTCGCTGACTGCAATGATAGAGCTTGGAATAGTCAGGACAATTTTTAATATAACTCCGACTGGATTCGTCTGAAAGAAGCAAGTCATATTCACCTAGGATGCCTCGGGGGTGAGTAAAACAGTCTAATTTTCATTTGTGGGTGAACTAACCCTTTAAAAATTTGCTCAAAGATTTGAAAATGGTTGGGGATAGGAATTGCATTTGATCATTTGCATACTGTGAAACTGCATTTTCAGCATACTGTAGATCATCCCTACAGGTTCCTTCCACCAACACTTACCATTACAAACTTAATCTGTTTCTTTTGTTAAGATCTTTAAGATTTGTGGCTTCCTTCAAGAACTGGTCAGCTTTCCTGAGCTTCTCCATTGCTGCAGAGAGCAAGATCTCCGCACTCGCGTCCTCCTTCATTTCCGTCTCACCACTCTGTGCAGTCGCGATTGTGTTCAGCAGCTCTCCAGTCTCTTTGATCTCAGAAGACACTTTGCTTTGCAAGTCCTTTACATCACTTCCATCTGGTTTAATTGTTATCTTTCTTCCATTGCTTTCCATCTTCTCTGCATTCTCCACAAGGAGGTTGTCTAGGGATGCGGAGCGGGACTTGGAAGAGAGCTTGAGAGGCATGGTGAGGTGCAGGGACATGTTGGCACATTGGCTTGGGGTTGGTTGTGCATTGAGAACTGAGGTCTTTGAGGTGGTGGACGGGGTTTCTAGTGATGGCTCCTCAAAACTCTCAGCTTTGCTGTCGGATGGTTCTAGATCATCCTCGCTGGTCTCCAAATCTAGTCCCTGGGAGCTTCCTTTGAGCTTTGTGGAGGATGGCGTAACTTGGTCGCCAGTCTCAGACTCCTCTCCTGAGTGCTGGCCACTGTCTAAAGACTTCTCCTCCAAATCTTCACTTGACACATCACCAGCTGACTCAGTTTTGGGTTCGGGAGTCGTCAATTTAATGTCAACTGTTTCTGAAGACGAAGTGGTGGAGTGGGTAATGACCATTGTGTCACTTTGTGTGGGAGTGTCCTCTTTCTTGGCAGTTGCCTTAAATGGCTTCTTCTTGGGTGGAGCAGGGGGCCTGGGGCTCTTTTTTATAAATTCAGGAGTTGAAAGTGGAGTAAGATTAAGTTGAGAAGGTTCTAGTGAGGTTGCAACTTCTCCAGTGGTATCAGAGGATTTCTTTGAGTTTTGCACTTCTTGTTCAGCGCTAGGTTCTTTTGATGGTATAATGGGTGAATCCCACATCACTACTTGTGGTTTCATGACCTTTGTGGACATAACAATAGTCTCTACTTCTTCTAACTTATCCAGGTCTTCTTTCTCATTTGAAGCTCCATCTACCTTGGTACCTTCACCATCAGCCTCCTTATTCTTTTCTTTTTCCTCTATTGTGACTGTGGCTGGTGCTACCGGTTGGGTAGGCTTCAAATTTTTGGAAGGAGGAGTAGGGGGCTGGACACTCTTGGTGGAAGGGGTTGGTTCGGAAGAGTCAGTGCTTTCTGCTTCAACCTCCACTTTATTATCTGAGACATTCTTCTCAACAGCAGCTCCATCAACAGAGACGCAAGGCTTAGACTCTTTTGATGGAGGCATCGGTGGCATCGTCTTTTGAGCTGCAGGTTCCTCAATTTTGGGCTCATACTCTTTATGAGTTTCGCTGGGTTTGTTGTCTTTTGATGGTGGCATGGGCGGCTTTATAACTTTCTTTTGGGGTGTGGACTCTTCATCGACGTCCTCCTCTGGAATGTTGTTCACCGCCACAGATGGTTTAGAAGTTTCGGTTTGTTTATCCCCTTCTGTGTTCAAGCCATGTGTTCCATTCGGCATGGTAACTTCACCATCAAGGTCCAGTCTTAATATTCCATCACTTGAAACATTTGCAGCCTGTAAGAATAGACAGAATATTACATTTAGAGAATATTTCTGGCTTATTGTTTTTAATGATTTAATGTAAGCATTAATTTGATCAAAAGTGACAGGTCAGACTTTTTCATTGTTAGAAAGGATTTTATTTCTAATAAATGCTGTTTGTTTGGACTTTCTATTCATCTAATATTTCTATATAAATTATCACTTTTTCAACAAATTAATCATCACAACTCTTTTCAACACTGATAATAATAAGAAAAGTTTCTTGAGCAACAAATCAGCATATGATATGTGATGTGACACTGAAGACTGGAGTAATGATGCTGAAAATTCAGGTTTGCATTACAGAAAAAAAAATTATATATTCAATCAAAAAAATGTAATTTCAATTGTAATAATATTTCACAATATTAATGTCTTACTGCATTTTTTGATCAAATAAATGATGATAGACCTATTACATAATATACATAATCTCAATACTGCATATTTAATATTTTCTTTACTACCTTTTCCGCCATCGAACACTTTTAACATTTAAAAGGTGATGCGATCATATGATGCGATTTCAATTTTTCCTTTCTCTTTGAAGTGTTACAAGCTTAAAGTGTTACAAGTGCATAAAGAAGATCTGTAAAGTTGCAAAGACTAAAGTCTCAAATCCAAAGAGATATTCTTTATAAAAGTTAAGAGTCAGCCACGCCTACCTAAAACGGCTCGTTCTAACACGCCCCCACATGTCTACGTCACGATGTGGGAAGATTTGCATAACGCCACCCTAATGTTCACGCAAAGAAAGAAGGTGTAACTTTTATTCTCGCTGTAGTATTGTTGCCGCCGCTGCCATGTTGTGGAGATGCTGTGTGTTTCGTAGTGAAAGCGAAACTACTTCGTTTGGCCTTCCAAAAGGCCTTCCGATATCTGCTTCGTCATGCCTAGAGCTGATCCGTGCTGGTCGCTGAGGAAATACATCAACTTCGCGCTGTGGATCGCCGGATCGGCTTTCACCGTGGACGAAGCAGAGTCCAGCCCGGGGTCATCACATGTGGTTGCCGTAAGCCCACCGGCCGCGCCATTCTCAAGACTGCCGGCCGTTCCTCACTCTAGCCCGCCGTGTATGACACTGTGTGTTTTGTTGTGAAAGCGAAACTACTTAGTTTGGCCCTCAAAAAGAGGACACAAATAGAAATCAGTGGTTAAGTTGTATTTACAACACTGTTCCAGAACAGTTTAACCCAAATATTCAGATGTGCAGCTCATTTTGCGGAGGATGAGGACTGTTTCCTGTGAGAGTAGCCTACAATGCCGGTGTCTGTTTCTATAAAGTTGGCCAGTTCCAACTTTGCAAGGACAGTCTGGCGCTTCTGACTCACAGCCTGTAAGTTTTTTATATTTAAAGAATTTGCCACTGACGATTCAAACACAAGTTTTGAGTAGTGTAGAGTAGCACTTGTTGTTTGTCGTTTCTCCAGACATGGGTTTTATTGTTTTTGTCTTGTTGCACCGGGACACAGGGCATTAAAGTATGGTAAGGGGCGTAACATTTCCGTCACACGCTTGAGGTATTCAGCCAATCACAACGCACTGGATAGCTGGCCAATCAGAGCACACCTCGCTTTTCAGAATGGTGAGCTTTGTAAAAATCGCCGCATTTCAGAAAGGCGGGGCACAGATGAGAAACAATGTACATTGTGGAAAATAATGTGTTTTTTGAACCTTAAACTGCATAAACACATTGCATTACACCAAATACACAACATAATGTTCTTTTTAGCAACGTCATATGACCCCTTTAAAACACTAATGATTTCATGCTACTCTTAAATGAATAAATGAAATAGTCTCAAAATGAATACCCATTTCCATACTGTTCATTATAAAGTTGTGATGGCTAAATTCACTTCTTTATTTCTTTATTTTATTAAATTTTTTGACACATAAGTATAGAATTTTAACATCAGCTTTAGTCAGAGATTTGTCTGTTCTGCAACAGGGACGATAAAAAATACTTTTTTGTCCGTGTGAAATGATTCTATCATACCTCCTTCATGTGTATCCTTGTTGGCGGCCTTCTTCCACGGTTCCCCTTCGGTCGGTTCCGTGTAACATGTTCTAAAGAGCAGCTTTCATCAACTTTTACCTGATATTTAAAACATAAAAAATAAGAATCTGTAACTATATCTATGTTCATTCATACAACACCATATTTATTAAGGAAGATCATGCTGTGTTCATTAAAAAAAAAAAATGTATAAATGGCCATTGTAAATATTTTTTTATTTTCAGTCATGGTGTCATTTATGTGCGTGTGTCTTTAAAAATCACAGTAAAATTTTACAGGTGAACAATAAACAGTACCTCATCAAAAATGTTGTTCTTTGCCTTATTGATTCCTTCACTGAGTGCCTTGATCCAGGCCTCTTTCTCTTCAGGAGTTTGTGCCTGAAGTTTGACATCTTGGACCTAAAATGAACACAACAAATTTCTATGAAGTCATAGAAACTAGTATGACATGCATAAACATGAATAAAACACTGAAAAAACGCACAGTTAAACATGCTAATCCTATTTTGCTTTTCTGTACGAAATAAAATTAGGAAATAACCCAAGTATCTAGTATTATGTTGGATCACAAGCATTACCCGCCAGACCACATTTTAACAATTTCATTCAGTGCAGTATAAAGAGTTCATTAAAGATCCAGTTTTAGTTTTGAAACTTCATTAAAATGAAACAGGAAAATACAGAGTGATTTGTCCGTAGGATGTCCCGTTGTTCAGTTAGGTTTATATAAAGTGTGTCTAGCATCCTGTATATTGCCAGACTCAGCATGAGTCTCCGCTTTGCAAGGACAGTCTGGCGCTTCTGACTCACAGCCTGTAAGTTTTTTATATTTAAAGAATTTGCCACTGACGATTCAAACACAAGTTTTGAGTAGTGTAGAGTAGCACTTGTTGTTTGTCGTTTCTCCAGACATGGGTTTTATTGTTTTTGTCTTGTTGCACCGGGACACAGGGCATTAAAGTATGGTAAGGGGCGTAACATTTCCGTCACACGCTTGAGGTATTCAGCCAATCACAACGCACTGGATAGCTGGCCAATCAGAGCACACCTCGCTTTTCAGAATGGTGAGCTTTGTAAAAATCGCCGCATTTCAGAAAGGCGGGGCACAGATGAGAAACAATGTACATTGTGGAAAATAATGTGTTTTTTGAACCTTAAACTGCATAAACACATTGCATTACACCAAATACACAACATAATGTTCTTTTTAGCAACGTCATATGACCCCTTTAAAACACTAATGATTTCATGCTACTCTTAAATGAAATATTTGGCAAGTCTCAAAATGAATACCCATTTCCATACTGTTCATTATAAAGTTGTGATGGCTAAATTCACTTCTTTATTTCAGTTTTTTATTAAATTTTTTGACACATAAGTATAGAATTTTAACATCAGCTTTAGTCAGAGATTTGTCTGTTCTGCAACAGGGACGATAAAAAATACTTTTTTGTCCGTGTGAAATGATTCTATCATACCTCCTTCATGTGTATCCTTGTTGGCGGCCTTCTTCCACGGTTCCCCTTCGGTCGGTTCCGTGTAACATGTTCTAAAGAGCAGCTTTCATCAACTTTTACCTGATATTTAAAACATAAAAAATAAGAATCTGTAACTATATCTATGTTCATTCATACAACACCATATTTATTAAGGAAGATCATGCTGTGTTCATTAAAAAAAAAAAATGTATAAATGGCCATTGTAAATATTTTTTTATTTTCAGTCATGGTGTCATTTATGTGCGTGTGTCTTTAAAAATCACAGTAAAATTTTACAGGTGAACAATAAACAGTACCTCATCAAAAATGTTGTTCTTTGCCTTATTGATTCCTTCACTGAGTGCCTTGATCCAGGCCTCTTTCTCTTCAGGAGTTTGTGCCTGAAGTTTGACATCTTGGACCTAAAATGAACACAACAAATTTCTATGAAGTCATAGAAACTAGTATGACATGCATAAACATGAATAAAACACTGAAAAAACGCACAGTTAAACATGCTAATCCTATTTTGCTTTTCTGTACGAAATAAAATTAGGAAATAACCCAAGTATCTAGTATTATGTTGGATCACAAGCATTACCCGCCAGACCACATTTTAACAATTTCATTCAGTGCAGTATAAAGAGTTCATTAAAGATCCAGTTTTAGTTTTGAAACTTCATTAAAATGAAACAGGAAAATACAGAGTGATTTGTCCGTAGGATGTCCCGTTGTTCAGTTAGGTTTATATAAAGTGTGTCTAGCATCCTGTATATTGCCAGACTCAGCATGAGTCTCCGAAGTGCACTTCACCCTAAAAAAATAAGAAGGGAAGAAAAGATTTATGTACTTAGAGTAGGGTGTGTCTAAAATATTTGTGAAACAGGAGGGTTTGGAATCTCTTAAATCTTTAATCTCTTTTCAAGAACTAGAGTACGTGAGGTTTAGTTATAAAATAAAACACTAGGCTGTGGTGTCTGACTCATTCAGCTGGCTGGTCACAGTATTCAGGAGAGGAAAAAGTGACATGATGGTCTGGCTGCTCTTCTCACACACACACACACACACATTTTCTCCTCTAGAGAAGTCTCTTGACATCTGCTGAGCTCTTTGCAGTTCGCCAACGCTTCGCTCTCGTCATCTGTTAGTAATAATGCATATGTTGCCTGTTAGGTATCTTCCGCATTTCTCAAGTCCTCTCCCCACCTCCAAGACTCTGGATTCAGTGTTATAGTGTACAGTAAACAATGAATATATACAGACTATTCCAAGGAACTATACCACCAGCTAAAGAATCAATTAGGTTGTAATAGATATGAGCTCATGGAGCAGTATGACACACAGTGTGTGTGTGTGTGTGTGTGTCCAAAGGTTATGACATATCATGTGCAATACAGTACACACATACTGCTCAGGATGAAGCCATCATTTACCATCAACTCTAACGCGTCAGCAAACAAGGGTTTGACGGGTAAAACAATCCAGCAGTCTACAAGCTCAAAGTGAAGCTAATCTCACAAATATTTCACCGCAGAACAAAAAGACACTGAATGCTTGTACATTTTTTAAAAGCAATGTTCACCCTTAAAACTGTATCTGAGTCAATGACATGATACTCCTTTTAACATGTCTATTAATTTTCAAACATACATTAAAAATGTAGTTCATACAGACAATGACTTCAATACACCTCTTCTATTATTAATATGCTTTCAATTTCTGAACTAAAATGCATTTCTGTGGAGCTTAACATCAAAGATTATATGTTGGTGGAACCATCTGGAACTGCCATTAAAAGATGGAAATAAACAATCATTATTTATTTAAAAATACAAGTTTTAAAACATTCTTCTTATAATCCTGCCTGTGTGTCAAGGTCAGTAAGTTTGAATTTATGACATTGTGGTGATGAGAGTGCTTGTGGTTGTCAGATCTCAGATGGATAACAACTAGAAAATATTACAACATTTTATTCAGGATTCAAAAATACATGATATTTGACAATATATACCTATATATTAGATGAAAAACTTAAACTTGCTTCGTCAAGTTTAATCTGAAATATTAAAATGACCAAAACTGAAATAAAGGATTTAGAAAAAATGAAAAAAATTAAAATGAAAACTACTTTAAAAATAGAAAAATAAAAGCTAATACAAAATATTAATAAATAATATAATAGTATATAAACACTAAAATAAAAAGTATATAAATACTAAAATAACACTTATGTAAAAATAATATTTTTATTATTTTTAGAGTCACTAAATCGAAACTTTCTTTAAAAAAAATCAAAAACCAACATTAAAACAAAGATTACCAAAAAAAAAAAAACTTAGTTTAGAACATGTGTCTTCCTTTTATCGTCTCAAACATCCTTATTCATCAGTGACTATATTTTAACACTCTACATATAGTCTACAGAGGAAAATCCACTTTTCACTAGAAAGTGAACAAATTATGGTTTGTGGCTGTTTTGATATACCACAAGTATTTGCGTAGTTATACAGGAAAGCTTGCCTCTGCATTTTTGAATATATAAACACTAGGACAGGAAATGATGCCTTGCTAAAGGTTGTCTTGTGTTTCACACTATGACTGTGTTAACATCTTTTATAACCTTGAGCAAAGGCCACTTTTATCAAAAAGTCAGCAACATTTTTAAACCTGGGTTATTAAACCTAGACTAAAGTACAGTGCCAAAGGTTTATATCATGAATTACCAACCCATGATAAAGTATAAATCATGTGAAAAATAACCCTGGGTGAAGACATGTAACAGGATGTTTATCATTTTTTATCTCAAATTTTATACAAGTGTTGCAATATTTGACACCAAGCATAAAGGCAAAACACCACTCATGCAATAGGCGACCTTTCACACACACGTTCTGCCATTATTTCAAGCAGTGAAGTGTCACTGAGCATGAGGCAGGAGTAATTGGCTCATCATTGGTCATGTGTCCGTTCAGATATGTGTCTGATTCATTAGACCCAGTACAATGACCTAGTGTGCCTCTAGTGCGTGCCATATTGAACTACTGACGTCACGACTGCAAGCCAGCCATCGACGACTGTGTATTGCATTGTCATCCTACTGTGAGCCACTCTTTATATCACACACAAAGGGAATGGTAGACTGATATATTTGACGTGGTGCAGCACTGAAAAGTTAATTATTACCTTGTTACCACACTTGGGGCTTCGTATTAGTACCAGTCTGTGTTTCTTCTTGAAAGGACTCTTTAACTCGTGGCAAGTGTGGTAGTTGTCCAAGTCCAGTTTCTCCAGGCATGTTGTCAATTCCTGCACGACGGGGAAAAATGTTCTTATGTGTAAAAGGATAAACCAGAGGAAAATTGTATAGTTCAGAGGTTGTTCAATGGAGTTTATTTATGTTTTATTTAAAGGAAAAGTTTACCCAAATATGAAAATTCTGTCATCATTTACACACTCTCATATTGTTTCAAACATGTATGGCTTTCTTTCTTCCATGGAAACCAAAAGGATATAGTTAGCAGAATGTTCATACTGCATAAGGACTAAAATATTCTTGTGCACTACATTGCAAATTGTTGAGATTATATTTATTTCTGCATGTTATACAGATGAAGAAGAGTCATATAGATTTTAAAAAGACGGTGATGAGTAAATGGAGACAGAATTTTCATTTATTGGTATTATCTTTGTCTCAGATGCAGAGTTATTATCATTAAATAAACTTAAACTGACACTGTTAAAAGCATTTTTGTTAACTGAAATAAATCTGGAATAAAAAGTAGTATAAACATTGGATGAAAAACAAACTAATTGAACATTAGGAATGTTGACTTGGCACCTAAATGAAATAATTTTAAGCAGTGAAAATAAAATACAAATAAATTCAACATAATTAGAAATATTAAAAAAAAAAACTAATAAAATTGACAAAAGCACATAAAAATGAATACAAATTCAACTAAAATTATTAAAAAATAAAATATAAAACGAATTCAAAATATTACTACAACTATAATAGTGTATAAATAACACTAAAATAACACTGCTCAGATGTTTCTAAAACTCCTCATGGAAGAAAAATGACTAAATGAGTTCCGTTCACAATAAGAGTACAAAGCTATTTGATTTATTTATTCTGTGAATCAATTTTAAATGTCTGGATGAAGCATGGATGGCTAACAATTAATTTAAATACTTTCTGCTTTGCAATTAGGATGGAAATAAAAAATCATTCATCCCAAAACAAAAACTAGCTTTCTAGAAAATTTGTGCCGAGTACAAACAAGTATTTTTTAAATTCACAATCCTTAATTCATCAGTGCATATTATTCTTATGCGGGGGGAAAGCCTATTGCTGTAATTTTCCATCAAAACGTCATGACTTTCTCTGTCTGTAACAAGACTTGTTTTCAGTTGAAACAGGAGGCTACACACTCTATTTTTAGCCGATGTAATTGTTAAACCAGTGTTAAACAACAACAGCCAAATAGCTATTGATAAAAGTAATTTTAGCAATGGTATGATGGACCACTTTACAATCCAATTCACTCCCAATGGATATACAATCATGCCCCAACCAACATTTGTTCTTGAGCAATAACATATTTTCTCATAAATCCATGTAATTCTGAAAGTACAGTGGGGTGGTTTCATGTTGACTTCATATCTATGTTTCATCATGATTTAGTAGACTTACCTCATTCTCATAGACCGCAATCACTGTTCGTTCCAGCTGAACGTATCGGTCCTTGTAGCTGCTCAAGAACTTCCCTGAAGACTTCTTCAACCAGCCGGCCTTCCCAGCACTCGTCACCTCTTTGGGCTTGGCTGGCTCCTCTTTCACACCCTGTTTTGGAAAGAAAGGAGCAAATCAGCATTGCTTAGTGAACCAAAATTTCCAGCGCGAGCATTCCTTCAAGGGGAAGATGAAGGTAGCGGATAGATGATCATTTTTTGGCCTGCATATGGGTTTAATGCGACCTTCAACACCTTTTCAAATTTAATAGAAAGGACAGATGACGCCTTATTTCCACATCTGCTCCGTTTCATTTTTTTACAGCCTTCTCATGACATTTGGGCATCTTATCTATATTTATTATTCAGCACGTAATTACTGGCATTTGCTAAGGAAAGAATGACTATTATTATTTTTAATTTAACAATCACTAACCTGCAGAACTGAACTTTGAAGGTGTACTTTAACGTTTTAAGTGATCAGACTTATGATTCTCCCTTTTTAGTTACATTAAAGCAGGCTTATTATTGTTAACAAATTAAAATAAAAAAACATTTTTGCTCATTAAAATAAATCTGATATAAAATAAGGATTAAATAATAGATGAAAATTTTTAATGAAATCAGAATTATTATCGTTAACTAAAACTAAACCAATAAAACATTTGCATTACTTGAAATAATGTTAACTGAAATAAAATAAAATATTAAAAAAGCATTTCATTTCAGCGAGTTGCCAATTAAGGCGAAAATGTCATGTTTGTTTAGTTTAAGTTGAAATACTAAAATAAATACATCTAAATAAACTAATAAATAAATAACTAAAACAAACTAGACATATTAAAAAAACGAATAAGAATGACAATCACACAACAAACTAGAATGGAAATATAAAATATTTAAAAAATCTAATTCAAAATATTAACAAAAACTATAGTATAAAAGATACTAAAATAATGATAGTAATATAAACTTTTTAAAATAAAAATGACAAAAGCACAAATCTAAATTGATAAAAATGAAACAAAAATTATAATAAAATTGAAAATAAAAGTAAAAGATCATTCAAAATATTGATTAAAACTATAACAGTACATAAAAAAACAAATGCATTGAACACTGCATTGAAATAGGGATTTGTGCCAGAGTGTGGGATAACAAGCAAAAACCTAGCAACCCCTAGAACAGCCTAGCAACTGCATATCAATGCACTCCATTACCGTTACCTAAGCACCACACACAATTCCTTAAGAAAATGTACAAAAAAAACGGTTCTAACCATTATGCCTATGACAGTGAAAAGTCACAGGAGAGTATAGTTGTACGCATTTTATTTTCAAAGTTTTGCAATTATTATAAAAAAAAAATCAAATGCAGCCCAATGCAGCTGTATTTAGAATTCCCAGGAATTTTCAATAGGAGTCTATGTGAGGAAATTCCTCAGGATGTCTCTTTAGAGGGTCATTGAGCTGTTTTTCCACTTTCACTGGGCCTTTGGAAAGAGCAGCGTGCGCTAGAGAAGGTGCAGCTGTCCGAGGGAGGAAAACCTGCAGAATAATAGGAGCAGCACTGTGCCATGACTTTCTCACACTGCCCTGTCTGGGAAACCACCAGGTCACTCGTACCCTCGCAGCATCTGCGCCGAGGGAGGGGGACGGAGCGCAAGGCGGCTCTTTGTTTTTCTCCTTCTGTTTGTGTGTAAATTGGAGTAGAACACACGGCACAACACAACACACTCGCTGGAGAGAGACTTTGGGTGGGACGGAAAAATCTATATTGTGAAAAAACACAGTGGAGCCAATTTGGACCTACAAACGAGAGCAGAGTGAGACAGAGCATCAACTGTTTTAAAGCATGTGATAGAACAGGAAAGAAGCCAAAACATACGCTAAGCTCGCGTTGATCAAACAGGAACTCGCAGTGCTAGATGAGATAATTTAAGAAAGCGAGAAGTTTCATTGGTGTCTGCTGAGGCATGCATCAGTGTTGCTGTTGCTCATACTAGGGTTTGGGGTTTGCAGGTCGTTTACACCAGCATAACTCGTTCCCACACATTTGTGCTATGAACACGAATGTGAAAGTGATCAGATATATGATTTTCTTTTGGTGGTTGACAAAATGAGCCAAAAAATGCATTGATGGAAGAACTATCTTGGGAGCAGAATATCATAGAGACTTTAGGGTTTGGGCTCCTCTGACTTGGACTTAAAAACATCCACCTAGTAACAGGCCTAGAACCATTGCAGAAATGCACTGAAAAGCACTCATACCCTAGCAACCGCATAGCGATGACCAGAAAACCTTCCAAAACATCCAAACAATGTGTCTAAAGTATGCATGAGCAAGAGCAGAAATTATTTGACCAATTAATACATATTTAATTATTACATTTGGATTTTCACAAAATCAAGCAATTTCATGCAATCAAGAAAAGCACACAAAAATGTTTAAAGGAAGTAAATAATAATAATAATAATAATAATAAATGAGACAAAGACATAAAAACAATATGTAATATATAGTATTAAAGTAACAATAATATTAATTATTATAGTAGTAGTAGTAGAAGTAACATTAGTAATTATTATTCATAATAATTTTATTAAGCTCCATTAACGTTTTAAAGGCAGTTTACATAAGACATAAATGATAATAATAAAATAATAACAATATTGTTAATTGAATATATTATTGTTTTTAAAGGCAGTTTACATGAGACAAAGACAAAAACTATATCTAATATATAATATAAAATAATTATAATTATTATCGTTAGTAGTAATAGAAGTAGTTATTATTAATAATAATATTACTATTAATAATAATAATTGTATAAAGCTGCTTTAAACTTTTCAAGGCAGTTTACATAAGACATAGACATAAATAATAATAACATAATAAACATCAAATTATTATACTGTATGCATCAGTTTTTAAATGCAGTTAACATGAGACAAAGACGTAAAAACAATCTGTAATATAATATTAATATTAATATTAAAACACTAGATATATGCAGTATAATAATAATAATAATAGCAAGTATTATTAGTAGTAGCATTATTATATATTTCTATTAATTATAATAATTTTTTTAAGCTTCCTTGAAGTTTAAGACAGTTTAAGTTAGACATAAAAAAAACTATATTTATTATATAAAAATACTATAAAAGTAAAAATAGTAAAGGAAAATAAAAGAATTAAATGTTCAACAATACATAAGTTACTTTTTCTTTTTCTTTTTTAAACGCTACGCTTTAAAAATGGTTTCTAATGCTGAATATGGTAGAAGATCCGTGCAAAAACTCCACATAACTCTGCATGATTGTTTAGTGAGACACACTTTAGCCATCACGTGTCTCATATACATATACATGCACAGCTCTATCTGGGTCAGATATCAGAGCCCTGCCCTGGCTCTATCTAAATATGAATCATCTGTGCGCTTCTTCCCAAGACCTCACTGCAGCCCAGACCAGAGCGACTCAACTTGTTCAAAGACTCACACTGCACATTTAGGCAAGCATCTAACAAATCCAAACAAATGGAAACCCGCCCTCTTAAACAACTCTTGCAGTATCTTTGTAGTATATTTGCAAAATCTCAATCAGGGAAGTGTAAAACATGAATGCCAAGCAGAGAAGTATAAAAGAGGAAATAGTAACCAACGTTAGCGAATTTACAGGAATGAAGTATTCTTGTTACACTAGTCCTCCTTACCGCTAGAGTTTAACAAAAAAGGGTAGGGAAGGGACAATAGTCAATGTGAAACCAGGTCGCTCCTAACAAAGAAAGAATCAATTGGAATGTGCAAGTGCTTTTGCATGGTGGGAGCATAGTGTGGCGTAAACTCGGGGCCAGAATGTAAAAGTTGCAGGTTTGAGCCCTTCAAGGAAACAGCCATGAGCTTTGACCATTGTAACCTTGAGCAAGACAGCAAACAACGGGTCGCTCTCAGCTTCAGACAGCATGCGGACAGACAGACCTCCCACAGTCCATTCACTGACCGTCCCATGCATGTTGCACACAAACATTTCTAACGCAGCAAATAAAATATCCATGAGCATTGTGTTTTCTGGCTGAAAAATAAATATTACATACACTACCATTCAAAAGTAACACTTTTAATGTTTTAAAAATAATGTTTTAAGGTCTCTTGTGCTCACCAAGGCTGTATTTATTTGATCAATATTCAGAAATATTATTGCAATTTTTCTATTTGATTATATTGCAAAATGTAATTTATTCCTGTGATTAAAGCTGAATTTTCAGCATCATTACTCCAGTCTTCAGAGTCCACATGATCCTTCAGAAATCAATCTGATATGCTGATTTGCTGCTAAAGAAACATTTCAGATTATTATTAATGTTGAAAACAGTTATGCTGCTTAATATATTTTTGTGTGAACTGATATTTTTTCCAAAATTATTTTTTTGTAACATTATAAAATCTTATTAAATGTAATATACAATACTTATTTAGCATCCTCCTTGCTAAATAAAAGTATACATTTCTTGCTGTATAGAAATTTCATTTGAATGGCAGTGGTTTTTTTTTTGACGGACAGAATTACAAATGCTACAAATATTTCTGCTCATTCATTTTCATGTGGTTGTGCAATTATTGTTTTTAATAGTTTTTTTATTTTTATTTTGGTATTGACTAGTTCATGTTATTCTAAAAAAGTAATTAATTACTAGTTGCTAATTACATCTTTAATAGTATAATTAGATTACTAATTACTCTCTCTAAAAAGTACTGCATTACTTATTGCATTACTTTCTAAATCCCACATCAACCTCGGACTATAGTTGAACAATACAACGATAGACATGAAACAGTTCTTTCAAATAAATGTCAAATTGCATAAATTATTCCTAACTGACCAAAGTATTTAAAGGGAGAAGGTTACCTTAAAAACATACATTTCAACATTAGATGATATATTCCGATGTTAAATCCACTATAGCTTTTTATAGAATTGTTCTATAGTCCATACAGTATTTAGTAACTATTTAATTTACAGAAAAATTAACTGTAATTCCTTACTTTACTTTTTATGGGGAAGTTAAATTACAGTAATTAATTACTAAGTAATGCATTACACCCAA